GCCAAGTGGGGGGCACCGGTCGGGGCCAGGTGGGCCCCCCGGGGGTGTCCATCGGTTGCGGGGGAGAAATCGCGGTGCGGGGGGCCCCAAGAACAAAGGTTCTGGTGGTGGGGGGTCTGGGCCAGGCGGGGGATATCGGTCGGGGCGGCACCTGTGCCGCTGGGTGCCGTCCTGGCGTCCCAGGAAAACAGGCGGGTTGGCAGCCCGATCGTCTCCGCAGCTCGACGGGGCTGTGGGAGAGACTCTTGCCCTGTGGTTGGCCAACCACAGTAGATTTTGGCCCGCCGTGCCATCCCTGAGAGGCCCGATGGGGTTACTCGAGGGGGTCCCCGGTCCCCCGACGTGGGGGGCGCGGGAACTTAAGTCCTTGGGCAGCGGGGCCTCCGCTGCTTGAGGCCGGCGGCCAAGTGGGGGTGGTGCCGGCGGCCGTGTCTCGGGGTGGCATCTCGAGGCACCTCGCAACGGCGGCGCGGATAACGCCGGGGGCGGTCCGTGCCGCCGTTCGTGTTGCGAGGTCCGACTGCATGTGAATTCATGCAGGCACCTTGGGCACCTCCCTTCGGGTTGTGTCGCCCAGGTGTTCTGTCCGGGCACAAAAAAGATATCGGTCGGGGCCAGGCGGGTGGCATCGGTGGGTTTTGGGGGAGGTCGTGGGGCGGGGGGCCCCGAGAGCAGAGTTTCCGTGGGTGGGGGCGTCGGGGCCGGGCGGATCGGTCGGGGCCGGGCGGGCGGCATCGGTCGGTTTGGGGCGAGAAATCGTTGGGTGGGGGGGCCCAAGAACAGAGGTTCTGTGGGTGGGGGTGTCGGGGCCAGGTGGGGGGTATCGGTCGGGGCCAGGCGGGGGGCGTCGGTTGGTTTTGGGTGAGAAATCGCGGCGTGGGAAGTCCCAAGAACAAAGGTTCTGCGGGTGGGTGTGTCGGGGCCAAGTGGGGAGTATCGGTCGGGGCCAGGTGGGGGGAGGTCCGGTGGGTGGGGGTGTCTGGGCCAGGTGGGGAGTCTGTCGGGGCCGAGCGGGGGGGGTCGGTCTGTTTTCGTTTAGGAATCGCGGGGTGGGGGGCACCAAAAACACGGGTTCTGCGGGGGGGGGTGTCCGGGCCAGGTGGGTGTTGCTGGTCGGGGCCAGGTGGGGGGTATCGGTCGGTTTTGGGTAAAAAATCGCGCGGTGGGGACCAAGAACAAAGGCTCTGTGGGCGGGGGCGTCGGGGCCAGGTGGGGGGTATCGGTCGGGGCCAGGTGGGTGGTATCAGTGGGTTCTGGGCGGGAAGTTGCGGGGTGGGGGGCATCGAGAGGAGAGGTTCTGTGGGCGGGGGTGTCGGGGCCAGGCGGTGGGGTCGGGGCCAGGGCCAGGTGGGGGCCAGGTGGGGTGCATATATGTTGGTTCTGGGCGAGAAATCGCGGGGTGGGTGGCCCCAAGAACAAAGGTTCTGCGGGTGGGGGTTTCGGGGCCAAGGGGGGCGGGCATCGGTCGGGGCCAGCTAGGGGGTACCGGTCGGTTTTGGGCGAGGAATCGCTGGGTGGGGACCCCGGGAACAGAAGTTTTGCGGGCGGGGGCGTCGGGGCCAGGCGGGGGGTATCGGTCGGGGCCAGGTGGGGGGTATCGGTAGGCTTTGGGCGAGAAATCGCGGGGTGGGGGGCCAAGAACAGAGGTTCTGTGGGTGGGG